TGCTTGGCTCAGTAAAAAAAAAAAAAAAAGGAGATAGCCTTGATAGAAACCTCCTAATTGCCTCTGCTGTAGGTTTAGGGCTTGCAGATTGTTAGAGCAGGAATGCCCAGTGAAGTTCTGCTGCACTTTATAACTTTTGATTTTCTCAGAGTTTCCAAGGATTTAGTTGTATTTATCAGCATACCAACTTAAGACAGCTGCTCTCTTTCTGCTAAAAAAACTAAACTTGTTTTCCACCTCATCTTGCAGCTTATCTAATTAATGCCCTCCTTGCCTGGTTCTTCTGTTTGGATTTACAGCCATGTTTTAGTGGTTTAATTTTGTGTCATGCTCTCTTCACTTTTGGGGTAATGGGTGGGGTGGTGCCCCCTTGTGATGTTAAAACCTGGATAAAAATGTAAAAACAAAAAAAAGAAAGAAAATTGTGGAGCAAAATGGCCCAGCTAGACTCCAGATTTGAAGCTGATCCTGAATCTGTAGGGAGAGCTAATGATTAGGGTGATGGTAAGGAGGCCTTCTGAAATCAAAATGTTAAGCCTGTCACCACTGATAAACATCAGAAGGGTTTTATTATTGTAATACTGATAATGAATTTTCCATTGATTTTTGAGAATTTCTGACATTGTAATGAATTTTAGATACAAAAACATGGCCGCATGTTTTTATTGCTACTTTTAAAATGCTTCATTGATTCCTTGCTCAATTTCTATTAGAAGCAGACTTCTTGATTGCATGAAAATTATTTCAAACCTAAATCGAGCAGCTGTATGGATAAATTTGGGCTTTAGTATACCTTTAGTATACATTCCTTAGTCTAAACTTTCTCTGCAACTTAATCCTTAAGGTTTTGTTGTATTACCTGGTCATCGTGATGCTGTTTTTTAGGATATAGCAGGAAATTCCAGATGATACATCAAGTTAGGTGGATAAGGAATGCATGGATTTTTTTGTTGTTGTTGTTCATAAAAATATTAAGAAACCATTTATCCTTTCTATTTTTATTAACAATCTTGTGTTAGTCTTACAAAAAATACCTACCACAAAGCAGTGCAGTTTTTGGTTATAACATGACAAAACATGGAGCCGTTTATGAAAAATCAATACATAATAACAATGAAAAGGCTGAGCTGCAGAGAAAGTTACCCGGAGATCTCAAACAGTTGCCTTGCTTACAGGTATAAGAAATATGTTCCTTCTTTCTAACAATATTTAGACATTATCCCTTTAGGGGTGATCTGAATGTTTAAAAAAACCTGTGAAACTAGATTATACTACTGAAGCACAGTATCCAGAGCTGCAGCCTGCGGCTCTCTTGTCACACTCTGAGACATGAAGTCTCTTGACTCCACTTTGTTCTGACCCACTCGTATTACACCCTCAAAATATAAGGCTGCCGTTCCTGCTGCTTCCAAATCCATCAAAGCAGCCAAACCACTTTCTCTGATTCTCCATACTGTATGAGTCTGCATAAAATGAGAAGCAATTCCTTGAATTCTGACTTTAAAGTCCTGTTACCTGACAGCATTGAGAGTGAGGTTGGAAAAAAATTTTTTTTTTTTTTTCTTATTGAATTGGACTGTGCATGTTGATAGTTATTGTGGGTGGGCTGGTGAACAGTTCGTGTCACAAGCTGTATGCATAAATAACCAACTGAAGGCGGTGCAAACTGGTGACTTAAACAGTGAAAAGTTTAAGGGAGGGTAGTTTGGAGAAGAAAAATCTAAACAAGTGCAATAAAATCAGTGGCAACTTATTTGCTAATTAAATAGGTTTATAGGGGGGATGTTTTCAATCACAGTTTAGATCCTCTGTAAACTATGTTTTCTTGTGCCTTTTAGAATCCATCTTTTTAAGATTGTAATTTTGCACATTTTTCTTCTGTAATTTTTTAGTGCCCATTTCTACTTGCTCTTGTCAAAGCAGATAAAATCTTTTGACTGGGCCAGAGATCATTCCTTGATCTTTCAGTGCAGCTAAGCCTTACTGGCTGGAGTCATCGTTCTTATCTGTTTAGATTGCCGGCTCCCTTTTCATTCTGTCACTAATTTATTCAGTGCATCAAGAAAGGGCTGCAACATTCCCTTATTCAATGAGTGTCCACATTAAGCAAGTTTTGGATCCAGACGTTTGAGCAGATGTTCCCATCTTTCAATAAAGTGTTTTGTTTTCTTTTCAAACCAAACTGCTTTACATTACAGTATGCCTTAAATTATCTCACCATTGTGTGGGCTCTCACACATTGTTTGGCCTGTCAGGGTTTATGACTCCCAGCTTATGTAGAAATATATTCATTGTGAATATTGAAATTACAAAAGCAATAACCATTTCTATTTGCTTTTCTTACATCCCATCCCACACAATGTTTACTTCTGCTGCTTTTAAGATATAGCTTTGCCATACAGTGTTGGAGTTTGTCTCCCAAGAGCGGAGTTTGAAAGGTTTTAGGGTTGAAAACCAAAACAATTTTCCTAAAGAAATACATCCTTTTATTAAAACAGAGTTGATTGTTTGTGCTTAGTGTTTGCAAAGTTATTGTTCCATCCTGTATTTTGGCACAAGAGCTTTTTTTGCACAGCTCTGTAATGAATGCTTTGCAGAAATATGAACATGAATACTGTTCTGCTGTTACTGTTATTTCCCTGAGGCTTAGACAAACTCCTGCAGAGTAAAATGGAATAAAGAAACATAATGGTCTGACTAACTTCCAGGGGTTCTCAATAATTGCATGTACAATATTGGCAGACTTGAACCTTAAACACAAACAAAACTCAAAATTTCAAACCAGTCACGTTAATCCTTGAATAAGACCTTATATATTATTCAGTTTTTTTTTCATTGTCAGATTCTTGTTTTATTCTTCAGTCCCACAAATTGACATGAACATGATGAGTCACATTCTTACTTTGAAGATGGGAAGTTATTAATTAACAAAGGCAGAGTTGAATAAATCAGAGGCCATCTTCACAAATCTGAGCTGACTAGTAAAACTGTTTGCTTCCTCAATGGTGAAAAATGCAGTGTTATAATATGGACCCAATATCAAAATGCTCAGTATGTGCTGGTGTCCCAACATGGGAGAAGCACACCTAACTCCAAATTAGGCAGAGTCTGGATGCTGGTTGTCAAGGGGCAATTTTGAGTCATCCAGGCTGCAAACACAAAATGTGTCTTATGTCCTTTGAAAGGAAAGTTCTGCTTAAATTTAAAAAATGATTTTAAGAAGTAAAAAGACTTAGACAAAATTTATTGTCATTTTGTATACACCGAGTGTATACAAAATTAAATTACGTTGCTTACAACTTATAACAGTGAAATTAACATTACCATTTAAAGTTCAGCAGTGATCATCATGTAAACACTATAGGAAAAACGAAATCCAGTTTAAATAATAATGGTGCAAAAGGGCATTAATATAGAAAGGTTCAATGCAGTGCAAAATAAATATGTTGCAAAAAGCAGTATAAAATTGAGTTGTGTCTTATTTAAAAGGATTGTAAAAGTTTCCGCCACATCAGTTGTGCAAAATAATGTGATGCAGTCACAGTCCAGTTTAGAGTTTAGCTCTTCAAAAGAGCGAGGACTAAAATAAATATAATTTTTTTGGGGCTTTATAATCATAAAAATCAACTAATCAAAAGCAAAGATTCACTTACATTTATTACACAAAAACATTTCTCCAGACTGTACTATTAAATATGTAAACGGAGCTTTGGGCCAGGTTAAAATACATAATAATACTTTACAATCTCCACAGAAACTCATCATTGCATGCACCGTATTATTGATAAGTCCTGAAAGGTTGAGTTTTTTCTTCCACAGCAAGGCTGAAACTGATAGTGCAGGTGCAGAGATCTCCTATTAAACAAACAAACTGGAACCCTATGTTATCATTGGTAATGTATTGCAGTGATGTTTTTCAAATTTCCTGCCCCACTATCCAGCAATGTTTGATCTAGTTGTAAGCTGGTATAAAGCAGAACTAAACCCTCTGCATATCTACAGAGGCAGAATCTGAGAGATGAAACCAAACAGTTCATAGTGCTTGCAGCATTTTGCCTTCTAAGCATTTTTACTGCCATGCTGCGGACGCTCAGGCACATTAACAGGCCATAACACACAGCCACATTTTTTCTCCGTGTTGTAATCAGACCCTTGAGTGAGGTCCTTGTTAGCTGATGCACAATAAGCTCCAGTCTAATGAAGTGTAAACCAGATAGGAGGGAACTCTAAGCGGGGGTTTAGATGAATATGACCGGCAGCCTTGCAGAGCAGAGGAGAACTCAATGCTAATTCTGTTAGCCAGGAGGTCATTCCATCCCGTCTCACTCCTGCTCAGTTTATCAGCACTTCATAATGTGAAGGATGTAAGGCCAGAGTGTTAAAAGTGAGGATCACCCTTAAGTGCGATAACTCCTGGAGCATGAATAAAGTGAGAAGTGGGTTCAAAATGAGTGCCCTGTTTGATTTCTGCATTACTAGAGTTATCACAGACCTGCCCTCCTTACAGCCTCCCGCTGTGTGACAGCTTATCCTCTGTGTGGAAAACTTCCTCCTTTCCTTGCTGTTCTTTCACACTCTAATTGTACCCTCTGCCTGAAGAAGTCTCTCTGCTGCTCGCACATTCAGCTCATCCTATTATTGCTGATGAGTATTTCATGTGCAGGTGGTCAGCTTTTTAACTTAATTTACACTTATAATTTAACCAGAACTACAGAATGGATTGTAATTTGGAGTTTGATTTTCCTGAGAAAATGTATATTCATGGTTCTTCATTGCAGCAGGTTATTGGAAGACAGCATCCATATCCAACCATTGCATATGTGAAATTGTTTGCATCCATTATGATGCATATATAATGCATTACCCTCTTTTAATCCAGAAAAGGTGCTATCATGCCTTGATAGCTCTTTTCAGCTTGTCATTTGAAATGAACCTGATGTGTTTGCTTGCACAATTGTGCACAAACACACAAATTAACCCTTCCCATGTTTCTCTTTTAGCCAACGCTGGGGCCTGTTATCCTAAGCAAGGTAACTCACCGGCGAATGGCTTCCTGCTCCTTTGTCCCATCCTCAGTTCATTGTTATTCCAATCACATATTTTATGCGTAACCATCTCCTTCCGCCCGTCTTTGTTCTCTTCCTGTCTGCCTTCCACCTTTGGCTGTATAGTCTGTCAGATGGAGCCCTGATAAAAAGACCATGTGCTGACAGAGTGATGGGAGTCCTTAAAATGGACAGAAGGAACAGAGAGATAGCGAGAACATGTAAAGAAAGTGTCAGTGGGTGACAAGTGATGGATGGAATGATGGGCAGAAGTTGGTGAGGAAAGTTAGACAGAGTAATGATAGAAATTATGTATCTGTTCCTGCGCGTTCCCACCTGACTTTCAATCAATTTAATATCAGAAAATGTCACTTTGCCTGTTTCCTAAGTAAAAAATGAAAGCTACTTAAATACAAACAGGCATATCAGAACCGAATAACCTCCAAAACAGATCAGTTGGACTCCTTGCCTTTGATCTATTGCAAAAGCACTTCACTTTTCTCATTTTTCTTCCCCCTTAGAACTTGAAATCAATAGTTCTGCAAGGAACTGCTCTGTCCTGGTGGCAAATTGGTGAACATCCCATCACATTTCTCTCTCTTTTTCTCTCTCCTGTCCCCCTGTGCCGTTTTCAACTCTGCTTCCCTCTGCTTCTCTTGTGTTACCTATATGTGCCTGCTCTGTGTATGTATTTCCCCACCCTAAATTGTTTCCTGATGCGGACTTTGGTGGCAATTTTCTTCCTTTCCTTACATACTCCCTCCTTCCTCCTCTCTCTTACCTTCTCTTCCCTTTTTTATCCCTTTTTCCTTCCTGCATCCTCATCACTTAGATCCTGAGCGTGGCGGCAGTCACTTGATCTCTACAGATGACTTGGAGTATCCACGAGAGTACAGGACGCTGGGGAACAGTGGCCGGCGCTTCTCCAATGTCGGCTTGGTACACACGTCGGAGCACCGCCACACCGTCAGCGCGGCACAAAGCCTGGAGGCCCTGACTAACCTGCACAAGGCTGACATGGAAAGGAAGAGGGACGCCTTCATGGATCACCTGAAAAGTAAATACCAACAGCAGCAGCAACAGCAGCAGCAGCTGCAGCATCCTCACCACAGCCCCCACCACAACCCCCCCTCACCCTCACCCTCCCATGCCAGCATGAGGGGCTCCTCAGAAAGATCTGCTCGAGAACAGGTAATGATGTGTTTTTATTTAAAAACTGCATTTTTTTCTGAGACCCTGAGATATTGTTTTAATATTGTGATATAGAAGACAGAAGTATTTATTCCAATGATTTTGGCAACACTTGTGTCAGCTTTATTTCTGTTAATGAATAAAGTCTAAGAATAGCCCCTTCTTAAAAACACTAAACAGGCTTGAAGTGGGACGCTAAGCTTTTTTAGTAGACATGCCTGGTTTGAATACCAAGTGTCATATCAGGATTCCGATTAACACATTTTCAGATTAAGTGTATGAGATTCCCTTACTAAACAAATCTTCTTGTTATTGTTTTTCTGAATCTGATTTGGTCTGCTACACTTTGGAGACCTCTGCTCAGTGTCATAGTAGAACGAGCTGCAGAGAATAAAACTGTAGCATTATTAAAAATACCTTTAGTTTTAAGTAGTGTTGTACCTATGCCGATACCAGTATCGGGCACGGCCCCGATCCAGCACTAAAATGGTGGTATCGGTATCGGCGAGTACCAACAAATAGGGCACCGATACCATTTTGAGAGCCAAAAGTTTATTCAACTGTTGTCGCCCATTCCAGGTAGGCAATGAAAAGTTCTCCTGGATTCACTTTGTATTAGTCCTTTTTCCTGCTTCACAGAGGTAGGCAGCAGCTTGACAAAGCCATGATGGCAATTAATTTACATCCAAGTAGCATGCAGTTCTTCAGGTATACACACACACATCAATTTTAAACAGATGGTATCGGTATGGTATCGGCTGATACTGCTCAGCCAGGTATCGGGTATCGGGGCCAAAAAATGTCATTGGCGCAACACTAGTTTAAAGCATACTCCTAAAGGAACGCTTTACTTAGTTTTCTGGAAATTAATTTTATTCTAACAATTAGTTTTCCACTTTGAAATCCAAAATATAGTGTGTTCCAACAAGCCTTTCTAAGCAACTGATGGTATGAAAAAACTACGTTGGAAAAACTTGCCATGATTCTCACCATAACAGATAGTTCTTTTACTGTGACTTTCACAGAGTGACATAAATTGAGAATTGATAAAAACACAGATAGAAAGATTAAAATAAAATCCCTTTCTGAATAAGCTAAATCCCAGGGGAATTTTCCAATTTATGCACTTAGAAACCTATTTATAATCTGATCAGCCCTTTAGTCTATGTGCTTTTGTCTATTCAAACTTGCTGAATATTCCATGCAACTGCAGTTGCATTATTTCTATTTTCTGCCTTATAAAATACCCTAAAATACTGCATTACTTGAAGTGAATGATTTGTTTCTCTTTCCATTTCAAACAGCTGTAAGAATTATTTGTAATTTAAAAACAATAGACCAATTTGACATCCTTAGTACCTTTTTTTTTTTTTTTTTTTTTTTACATAAAACAGCTTAAAAAATGCATATGGGTTTCCCAAAATCAAATGTTCAAATTATTTTGTTTCCTGGTCTGTCAATCCTTCCTGGTGTGCTGCTGCAAAATTCAAGTTGGTTACCATTTCCACCTGGTCTAAATTTGCAATAAAAATCATGATACACTGAATTGCTTTTTATTTTATAACATTCCGGAGTTTGTTATTGGAAAATTCTGGTTTTGATAAACTCATATTGAAATCAGGGACAAAAGAACCCAGATTGGGGGGGCTTCCCTGCTTTTATTTCTGGTAAAAGTCCTGCAAAGCACACAACAAATCCTTTAAAGTGTAGTTTATTTAGTTTCCCAGTTGCTCCTACGCACAGAGCGTACTGTGATCTGTGTCTAAGCGCTGCTGCTGGATGCAAATTTGGGAATATTGAAGCGCAATGACGTGACACAAAAGCACATGAGTGAAGAGGAGAGAGAATGAAAGGGATCGAGAGAGAGAGAGAGAGAGAGAGAGAGAGAGAGAGAGGGGAGGGTGAACGACAGGTGGAGTCCTGGTTGCCATGGGAACCACTACAGTATAAGTCACGAAGGGATATCACATTGCAAAGGTCAGAATGTGTGGAGAAGGAAGAATTGGACTATAATGAAGACAGAAGGGAAAGATAAGTGTAAGGACATCATGGAAAGCGGACAGATCCTAAAGTGACGGGGCATTTTTGCTGCACCAGGGAGGAAACGAAGGACTCCAGGATTCCTTGTCACCTCATTCATAGAAGGAAGCGCAGCTGTCCACTGACCAACTAACCAGCACCACAAGGACCCAGCAGCCCATCTGTGAAGGAGTTAATCGGCTGATGTTGTAATGAATTAAATAAAAAGAGTTTCCGCCGCATGTGCAATTGTAGAGCGAGACAGGGAAAGAGAGGGACTGAGTGAGGAAGAGGGAGGTTTGTGAGAGAAGCAGAGGGGGGGAGAGACGGGCAAACAAAAAAAAAAGAAAAATGCGCTGTGGATTTTCTGCACCTGATGGACAGTCTGGAGTGACTGAAGTGTTGGACAGGCACAGGTGTTCTGCAGGTGAGATTTAACTTGGATCTTGAAGCTGCTGAGTAGATGCATGTGTTCGAGCGTGTGTGTGGGAAATGGATGTGCCGGCTGGGATTAGATTCCATGCCTGTTATGTTTGTTGTGGTTGTTGTAGTGACAGAGTGCATATGCCTCAGCAGGCACAAACCCACAGCAGACGAAAGCTGAGGGGGACGATAGTAAAAGCTGTGCACAGAGCTTTTTGTATTTCCCTTTCAGTGTTGGGTTGATTTTTAGTGCAGATTTTGTCAGCTTTTTTTTTATATATTGACAATCTGCTGGTGTGTAGCAACAATACTAGACCAGATGAGGATTTTAGGGTGCATGAGTAGGAATGAGTAAGATAGAGGGGAGGGGTTGGGGGTGCAGAGAAGATGACGACATGAGAAAGAGTGGAGGAGGATGGGAGAGAGTATAGGGTCTGCTTTACATGCAGGTCAGGTAATGCAGCCCTCCACTCTTTGAGGCTACGTTTCTCCACTGGAGCCCACATGCTTGTGTCCGTGGCAGCGCTTAATTGTGCAGATAATCTTTAAATTTTAGCAGTGAGATTTCCACTTGACCTCTGAGGTCCAAGTTTAATCTGACATCTAAAACAAATCTCATTATCTATCTGCAAGAAGCATAAAATGATGCATTAAGATCTAAATTTGATCTGCTTATAGTTTCACCAGATATTATAACAAGCTGTTGAATGTACTCTTTGTACGGAAAATGTGCTTTGATTGCATAGGCGGTTGCCAACATGTAAAAAGAACACCATAGGTGTAACATATCCAAATAAACCAGTTTGCTTTTGTACTATTTGCAGGTCAAAGTCCAAGCTCTGTTTTTCTGCCTCTGTGAGCAAAGAAACCAGTAAAAAGGATTAGATGTGTTTACCTTAGAACAAAAAATGAGCCTTATTAATGCAACAGACATTTACAAAACCACAAATCCTTCCTCCACCTTTAAAGCCGTTCCTCTCGGACTTATTTTGTAATGCAGGAAAAAAACAAAATCATTATTAATGTATAAACAAGTGAGCAGCATGTATTTACAACATTGAAGCAGTGCCCCTGAGCTGCCAGCAGATGTAGAGACTTTCAGTGGTGAAACTTTTCTGTTATGTTGAATATTACTGGATAGTCAAGGCCAGTTCACTTCCACTCTGGAGAGCCCTTATGATTACTCGTCCCTGACATTGACACACTTTACCAACGATCAGTTACCCTTAAACTAATCTCTCCTCAGAGGAAATGCAATAATTAACAGATTTATCTATTTAGTAGGTTTTTAAATACCTTATATAAATGTTAAATGCATAAAAAATGCTTTAATAGAATGACTAACATTCTTTTTTTTTTTCGGCAACAACAACAAAATAACAAACCATCTTTCTCCATCTGTCAGGAATTAAGCTATAGTTCACGGCGTCACATTAAAGCATTATTTAATTTTAGCTGTTGTTTTTCAGGAGTCATTTATATGCTAAATGAGAGCGGAAGCGTGGGTTGAATATTTTCTCCGTATCCTTTTCTTCTTTAGCATAATGAATCTAAGCCTACAGGTCCACATTACACTGACATTAAAATACGACATAAGGTGGAACCAACCGGCTTTCTCAATTAGCCAACCATTACACTAGGGCTCTCGTTTTCGTTTGTTTTAAATAACATCTATAACAACATCTCTTTTTCAGTGATAGATTGTTTTGTTACTGTTACAGTGCCCCATGCCTTACTAGTAATGTGTCATAATTATGAAATTATCTACCTTCTTTCCAGTAAACGTATTATTTCATTAACAGCTTATATGAATACAGAAAATTGATACTGAAGAAGCAGACAAAAGAAGCGGCACGGCAGATAAGCCTTAAAGTCAGAGATAAATTGCTGATTCTGTCACACAGAACATAAATGGAGGGTCTTCTCTTAGCATAAACATTTTTGTCATTCTTTGGATTCCATTGCATCACCTTTGCACAAATTTCCCTAATAGTATACAGTACACACTATGTTCACATTTTAAAACTAACACATTACTCAAAAGAGTGAGGCCACAGTGTCAGAAATGTATCTGGAGGCTAAAATCTAATTTTTGTGGTTAGAAGTATTTTTTTTTTTGCATTTTTTCATATCAAGTTGTTCTGCTCTATAACATAAAAAATGGCTAAAAGAGATAAATAAGGAAAACGTCTTAGTACCACAATGTCATTCTAAGCTGTTTTCACAACAACATTGCTGCCAGAACTTCTTTGACATTAGTTTTTTAAAAAGCAGATTAGTGAGAATGCATGCATGGAAATATATCTGTATTATGAGGCGCTAAGGTAAAACAATAATTTAATAATTTACTAAGTATTAAAAACTTAACTTAAAAAGGTTAAACCTGTTCTAAAACTAACCTAAGTGTGGAATAAGTGCACTCAAAACTTGTAATAAAATATCAAGGTTCAAACTGTAGAGGCAAGGATGCATTTTTGTCATGCCTCTAAGGGTAAGGTGCATGTATTAAAGGTATGTATGGGCATGTGTGGGTGGGGCTATAAGTGGGTGTTGGCATGTGTCTGGAGCTGAATGATTGTCTAATGAATATAACCTGGATCTGCTCTGGGGCTGTTTGTTTGTTTGATTCAGAGAGAGGCTAAGGCAGGGAGCCAATATTTCTGTTGACCGCAAGTTTAAAGCAAAATAAGTCTGCAAATCTACCTGTTGTACAATGCTTCACAGAAAAAGGGTACCATAAACATCCCTAACTGCAGTAAAGCTTTATGTTTCCTCCTTGGATTCAGCGCGTCGAACAGATCCCTGCTCTCCTCTCAGTGACTAATTTTTGGATGATAGTCGCCTACACAAACATCCATCAGTAAATTAGAGAGTTTAACTTATGCTCCATTCAGACACGTGTAGCAATGACTTCGAGTGTCCTGGACAATAATGATTGGTCCAACAAATTATTATTGCATTGAATAGAATAGAATAGAATCCAACTTTATGGTCATTACACTGTCATTGTCATTTACTCTCTGCATTTAACCCATCCCCTTGGGGAGCAGTGGGCTGCCATCGTGCAGCGCCCAGGGAGCAGTGTGGGATTAAGGATGCTCAGGGACCCAGCGTGGCAGTCTGTGGGAGTGGGGCTTGAACTTAGAACCTCAGGGACCCAAGTATGATGCCCTAACCACTAGGCCACCACTCCCCCAATTATCATGATAAGCCTCTACTTATCAAGTTTTCTTTTTGAGCTTCCTGCATTTCTGTTATACTACTCGCTAAAACTATACAAAAAATATTTTGAAATATTGGTGCCATAAACATGAGAGTACGCAGGAGCTATTCCATCCTGGGTTTGCATGGAAGATTTAACCTTTGCATGAGGCTAATGTGGCAAGCTCTTCTTCAGACTTCTGCTGCTGTTTATAAAGATAGCCTAGGATTTAGTCAAGAGTACATTAAAGCTAATGGTTTGCAATGAAACCCACCATAATGTAGTCATAAATAAAAATGTGCCTGTCATTTTTTTTTTATTAATCCCGACTCAGGATAATGTGGGCTTTGCATAAGAGAGGATGAATATTGCCTGCAGATAGAAATAAGAACGAAGGGTTAGAGCTGCAATTGAAATATGTAAACTCTGCTCTATCTTCTGTTAATATTGCATGTCGCTGTCATAAGATATTCCCGGACCAGCAGTGGCTCTGTCTGTTCTTAACTGTATGGTAATTATGGCTTATTTTATTTATTTAAGATATTGTTTCCTGAGGCTCCTTACGGTTGTAAATAATTTTTCTTTAATGTCCAAACAGCAGGAAGGACAAATGGGCAGATGTTTGCTACAGCACTCAGTGCTGCAAATTGGCAGGTCAGGCTTTGAGGTTGAGATGAAAAGAGAGCAGCAGGTGGAAGGAAACTGGAAGAAACGGAAGAGCAAGAAGGGAACAAAATTGTTTTTTTAGCAGTGGTGAAATCTGGGAGGGAAAAAGCACAGAAAACGCAGATGTTTTATTTGACTTTGTTTTTCATTTATAAAGACGCATTCTTGTTTCAGGTTTTTAGTAGCTGGTAAAACAGAGTCACGGTCACCATAATTGATCACTCAATGCTCATGTTTTACATGAATGTTATAAATTAACCTGTCAGAAGCAATGATGCTTGTTGAACACAAGCAGAAATCAGCACGTACATGATAATTGTAATACAGTTGCATGTGTATCTTGTTTTATTTGCAATTATTCTTGAAGTAATTCTTATTTTCCTTTGTATCCCCCTTCTTCCTTTTTTTCCTTCATGAAATTCAACAGCAACAGCCCAACTACTGGAGCTTTAAGGTCAGTGCTGCTTGTCTAAGTGCGTTTGTCATTCCTCTGTCTGCTTTGTGTCTTTACGTCTGTGGCATCTTGTCCAGGCCCCCCCACTGCTCTTTCTTCCCCCTCTCCTTTCTCCTGTAACATCTTTTCACTGTCTGGACAGTGCTTGTGTGTGGTTGTGGCATGTTTGGTGGCAGATATGCCAAAAATAAAAACAGCTTAAACATCTCCCTATCCATTTAATTGGACCATTCTCCACGGACTTGTGACACCTCTGCTACTTGCTAAAAGTACGGGACCTCATAGTTATGTTATACTGGAAGAAACATAAAGGAGACTTTTCAATGTGCTTCAATGAAATGCTCTTGTATTTGAAGAGATATGTCCGTGTTAAATCGAAAAACGTTGATTTGCTTATAAGAATAAATCTAAAAAGTTTGGATTTTTGACCGATTGATTAATATGATCCTTTATATCTGTTAACTTAAATTACAAACTAATCGCACAATAACTGTTTTTTGTTTGCATGACAAAAACTCCTGTTTGCATGACTCCTCTTCAAATAGTTTTTAAACACAAGCAGAAATATGACAATCTAAAGATATTTAGTTATATGGCAAAATGTAATGTCTTGATAATATCTGTTATTTATTTTATACTTAGTTGAATTGATTGGCTTCCACTGAGCCTTAGGATTTAATCATAGTCCTCTGCATGCTCCGGTTATATTAAATGCTGTTTAGTTGTTTGACTGTCTGTTCACCTAAATCATGTGTCAATTTAAAAAATAGTGCTGCAGAAAAGCTGGAGACATTATTAAAACCACCAACATTTCACTCATGCATTTAGACACCTTATATTTGCACATTCTCCTGCAAGGTTTTCTGTCTAATCAGTAAAGCTGTAGAAAACCACGTCCTACTTCAATATTCCACTAGCTCTAATCTAAGCTCAGCTTTCCACTCTTGTGCTTAGCTAAGGGTCCAGGGAGATTAAACAAAGGCTAAACTTAATCACTGTAAGGTTCCTTGAAGAAAATCAAAAAAAAAAATCTCTTTTGGTTCATAAGCATAATATCACACAAAAATATTTAGAACAATCTAACTATTTATTTCGGAACATTCATTATATATCCAAAAAGAAATGAATTTTTTCTTAATTTATTTTTTCTACACACCTTGCCTTCCTGCTATCTGTTGTTGTCTCTTGCAAATATTTGTTAGGGGTATAGTGGAGGATTTTTGCAAAGTTTTGAGAAGACCCGCCTTTTTCACCACTCAAAAAAAATGCACCTGCACAACCATCTACCCGCTCCCGAGAAGGAACATCTATTAAATGTGTGAGAGCGTGCACAAGCCCATTTCTCCTCATGCACACTCTGTTTAAAAGTTGCTGTTTGCATCACTCATACAAGCTTACTTTCCAAATGACATTTACAATTTTTTGACTATGTCAGACTGACCGCCAATAAGTGAAAATGGGGACGAGCATGTAGGACAGCCTTTGGTAAACATATCACCAGATCGATTGAAAATTAGGAGGACCATTTATTTTGATGATCCATCTGGAAAAAGAACATCCTCCACTATACGTCTTTGGCCAAAGTATTTCTAAAGGTTGCAGCAGTGAAATGAGAAGCATCTTTAACCAGTTTCCTCTTTATAATATCAAGTCATGGTAGATACTTTCTTGTGATCTCTTCTCATAAGCTTTGGTGACTGAGGCGTTTGTCTGTTGAAGCATCGCTGTGATGATTTTACCATAGATATAGATAATTATCATGCTGAAAATCCTTTTTCTTATTTTCCTAACTGAATCCACTTGAAAGACAGAGGTAGTAATACAACACACTGAAATTTTCCCGGTCCTTTGGATCACAAACAAAGCTGAATCGACTTTTTTTCTATGTATGGTTTCAGTTCAACACTTGGTAGAACATTGACTGCTGTGTTAGGCTGGTCATAAAATGCTTCTCCCATTAAAATGCTAAATTACTCCAAGAGGCCATTATTTCCTTACATTCTCTTACTGTAAGCTGTAGGTTATTTAATCAATTTTTTCAGATCTGTTCAAAAAAGTTAAATTTGTTCTAACTTAAAGAGGTCATAGAATGATTCTATAGGGTATTTGGTGCTGGTTCTTAAGGTCTTTGAATTGGGTGTTTAGCATTGGTTGGGCTGAAAATGGCACATTTGCTGTTCTATGGGCCCTAATGCAAGCCTGGTTAAAAGCCCCAGAATGAAACGACAGTTTTTTCTCCCTTTTATGGTATGCTCATGAATATTTAGATGAGCTGTGTGCTGATTGGTTTACACTGAGCGAAGCTGCTGAGCAAAGATGCATCATAGCAAAAAGCACTAAATCACTAAAACATCAAATTGGTAATATGGTAGGGTGACCAGACGAAGCCTTTTTCATGTCCTACTTTTCACACCTAAAAAATTGTCCTGGGGGAAATTTAAAAATTTTGGTCGATTTTGGTCGATTAGAATGCAGCACATAGTCGAAACACACCGGGCACCAAATCGAGCCGTCAGCTCCGGGGATGGACCGGGAACCCCGGCGGACGGGGGCAGCGAGCCAGCAGGGGGACAGAGCGACCGAACCCGACCTGATGACAGTAGGCTGGACACCGGTGGCCTCTTGCTTCCCCCCGCCTGCCTTACCGGCCCCCAATCCCCATTCTACGACTGAGGATGTGCAGCTCATGGCTCTCTGCTGCGGCCAAGCAGTTGACACTTCAAACAGCTAAATTAGTGTCTTACATCTTTGTGACCGCTATTCATATTCTTGGGCCAGTGAACCAGTGGGCTGGTCTGTATGTAAATTTCAGTGCGTGACAAAAGTACAGGCCAGAACCAAATAAGGCAACATCCCCGAATTTAAGGTAAAGTCGGGGCTTCAATTCGATTCGCCTGTTTTATGGTGGAATTTTTGAATTGTGCGATTTGTAGAGAAAGGAGGTGTCGATGGGGTTTGAACTCATCTGTACGTCCATTTCAACCACTGACCTATTGTTATTCATCTATGACAATGTAAACTTGGTTTTGCAATCTATGACCCCTTTGATAATAATTGCTCTGAATGTAGATATAATGTAGCTTGTTTTTAGGTATTTCCTTATTAAATCACATCACCGTGTCAAAATGTAAAGAATCACAGCATGTTTGTCTTTCCCACCTTAAACACTGGCTAAAGATCTATGCATTATGTCATATTACTTAAGAAATGACAAATACTGAGACACAAAATCTTTGATTTTGCAGTTGTCCAGGTCCTATATAACTAATTCTGTCTCTGAATCTCCATCATCATCTCGCCTCCTCTTTAAAAGGTTATTTTTCTTCCGTTATTTTTACATGCTTCATCTACTTACAATTTACCGGGTTATGACAGAGTCATCACTTCCATGCATTTATGACTCCAGGTCGTCTGAAGAAAAATGACTCCATTATTATGAAGAGATTCTGTGTCCGGACGATTTGCTGCATTGCTAGAGTAGTTAAAGGGAATTAATTGAATTGGTGGGAGTAAAATGGATATGAAGTATGGGTGTTTTAATGAGTTGTTTTCTATAAATTTTCTAAAAGATGAAGAAAATGCTGACTAGTTAAAATCAAGTGCAGACAGATGCACCACAGATTAAACATTTTGGATGTTACTCTGACTTCTGTCGGCAGAGACTGAGACAAAGAGGTAGAAGTTGACATTAGTCGCATAAGAGAATCAGAAACAACCTTTTAGTGTGATAGGAATTAACCAGTAAGGTGCGAACATGGTATTAAAGGTACATAAAGGAAACATAACTAGAGTTGGAGATAAACAGAAGCCTTTAATGAAAAAAAAAATATGATTAGTAGAAGAGATGGAAGAAAATGAATGTCATAAGAACAGCCAGCTTGTTGGGCCCTTGACTAGAGCAGACAGCACTGTATCTCCATAATCACACATTAACACAACAGGCGGTAATGAATCCTCTTTCTGCCTCTCCACAATTAGATTGAATCCAACATGATGACCTCTTGAGCATTATCAGCTGCACTTTGCATGTTCTGGATTTATAATAAACCATATATGCTGTACTGTGTGTGATATCCCTCAGTTCATATTGGGCTAAATGATTTATCTCGCAACATTTAAAATGATATGCTGGAAATATTAAAGCAAGGGGATTATAGTTTCCAGCAGCTGAATGTTTAATTTTGCAGGCAATCATGAGAGCATTGTGACTCTCAGCAAAGTCAGTCATCAGACGACAGCTGCACTGACGGCCAATTAGATTTCCAGGGTGCAACTCTGGTTACTATTTTTGCTCGATCCGTAGACTGAAAATCTGGCAGATGTATTAACATTTAATTGACTATAAAGATTACATCTTTAATACTGTGAAAATTATCAAAGAATTTATCTATGTCATGATTACTTTCACACTATTTTATTTGATCAGCAAATACATTTATAATCAGACAGATGACCTAAAAAATTTGTTTTTAATTAATGACTTTATCTGAATGGATAATTTTCTATTTAAGCCTATCTGTCTGTGTGTAAGAAAGTAAACAGCCCCTAAACCTGCTGTAATTACTGTTTTTTCTCTTTTATTAGGTTGAGGCAAGCAAGTATTTGCTTGCCTCAACCGCAACCTCAAACTGACTGACTGTAAGGTTTACATCACTATAGTGGAATTTCAGCTCATATATGTTTTGGATTTAGGTTTTCTTATATCAAAAGTTCATTTAGGTGCATCCCACCACATAGCAATACGTCTGGGTATTTTCTTGGCTCCTTTCTGGTTTTCTGTGAGTTATTGTTCAGCTGCCAAACTAAGTGTACTGGAGACTGGATATCCTCCTGGATATTATTGTAGAGAGCTAAATTGATTATTAGCTGTAATAAAAACAGATAACGTTTTATTACAGCTAGTCATCCTGGTCCTGAAGAAACGAGGCAGCCGCAGGCTATCAAACTATGACCACCATGTTTGACTCAGAATGAGCTTCATCTGTAAGATATTTTATTAGATTTACATTGGATGTTATGGGAAATAAACATTACAAAAAGTTTAATATTTGTCTCTTTAGTTTAGAGTTTTTTTTTTTTTTAATCATTAAGATGTTGTTGGCAAATATCCAAGTGATTTTATTTTTTTCCCAGTTTCTCACATATAATTTTCAATCACGAAAGCTAGCCTTAATAGAATGGAACAACTTTATAGAATAACTAACTTTATTGCCATTCCACTGTCACAAGTACAAATCAATGAAATTAACTCTCTGCATTTAACCCATCCCTCTGGGAGCAGTGGGCTGCCATTGTGAGGTGCCTGTGGAGCAGTGTGGGGTTAAGGGTCTTTGCTCAGAGAGCCAGAGTGACATTCCGTGGGAGTGGGGCTTGAACTCAGAACCTCTGGGACCCAAGCGCAATACCCTAACCACTAGGCCACCACTCCCCCTAGTTAGGCAGGTAAAAGCTTTTTATGTTCTGCTACTAGACTTGTTTAATTTAGATTATTTAGTTTTTAAAAGAATCTTACTTCTTAATGACTTCAAATGTTGGACTCTGTTTACCATGCTTCATTAAGGTTCATCACAAACCGTAGAGCCATGACACATCACTGTGACCTGTACTCTCAGGTGGGATGGCCTTCCCTCTCTACGAGAAGGCAGGGTCATTGGCAAACGTTTATTTAAAAGGCCCTTCTTGGATTACTGCCCTCTTATATTTGTACCTTACTTACACAGAAAAGCATTATGCCCTGAGATCCAACGATCAGCTGTTGCTCACTGTTCCTTTTGCCCGAACAGAACTGGGGAAGAAAGCCTTTAGCTGTGCAGCTCCTTCTGAGTGGAATATTTTACAAAGAAACTGAAAGTTGACTGAGTTTTTATCTTTAAATGCTTTGAAGTTGAAAGAGAATTTGAAGCAGCCTCAATGATCTGTAATTGTTTTACTTGATACGTTTTTTATTTTTTATGTGCCTGTCATTTATTTTAATGTATCTATGTTTCATGTATCTTGTGTAACTTTGCTGCCTCTTGGCCAGGACTCCCTTGAAAAAGAGGTTTTTAATCTCAATGAGATTTTTTTCTGGTTAAATAAAGGTTAAATACAATTTTAAAAACATTATATGGTTAAATCCCAGTTAATATACAGCAAGCAGGAAAAATACACAGGCCAGGTGTGTTTGAGCTTTTACACCTTATGAATCATATCTTTTTTTTTAATCTAATACTCACCTTATGATCTTAAATATTCAAATATGACAGAAAAGAAGCTAAAACAAAATAAATCTACTCTGGGAAAATACTTATATCATAAAGGTCAACTACATTTCTTTCTATCTTATGCTATGTCCTGGTTTTAGGTTTTTGACCTTAAAACATTCTTCTGTGAGGGTATTAGTGTTTTATTTTGTTTGACAGCATGCATTCATACTAGTGTGTTCAAACACAAGAAACCAGATGACATGGTAGGAGGTTGCATAAGTTTAATGCAGTTTATAGCCTGAGGTCCGTTGTCAGGCTACCTTGTCCCACTTTCCACTCCTTACTTTTTCTTCTCATCCACGGTTTATAAAGACTATAGACTATTCAGTATCAACTGGGTGTCGTTGAAATGTTCATGATTGCTTATAAATAAAGGGTTTACTGAGTGAAAAGCAGCAGAACCAGTTCCTGGCTTTTCAGCAGGAGCAGATGCATAACCAGATGGTGTTTTCTCATGTCATTTTTAGAATACAGAATTACTGCAGAAAGATATGATCAAATCTCCTGTAAGTGGAAACAGAAGTATAGAAGTCAGTTTTTGGAACATGATGTAAAAAGTCAAGACTCAAATTATGATAGATTTGTAATTCAGCTGCACATTTTGAAGAGAATAAAGCATCCGTCTTTGCTTTTCCTGTACAGTTTATCAGAAAGTAAAAGTTGAGGTTTGTAGCCTTTGTGGGCAGAAGGTACTTTGATGCTCATTGTTCACATTTTTACTTGTCTTGTAAAAGAAAAAAAAAATCAAATGCTTTTCTCAAAGTGGCATAAAATTTCTAATATTCTCAATTTATATTCTTTTAATTCCCCTGCCTCTTACAAAATCTTTGTCTTCAGGCCCTCCATCTGATGGTATTAAAATTCTACTCTAATCGAAGCTCCAGCGAATCAAATGTATTTATTACATTTCCCCTTTAATATTCGATGGTTTGATTATAAGGCCAGAATGTTGCACTCTGCAGTATCTGCTGAGCCTCTGGGAGGCTACTGGCTGTTGTTTTTTTTCTGTGTGGTCACTGCTTAGATAAATTACCCTATTAGAAAACATGTTGGGGGTTATCTGTCAGCATCACACGCTTTCCGTTAGCGTTCTAAAACTGTCTGCCAACACTATCCCTAGATCCTCCACGAGTGGGTGTGGGACTGAATTATGTATAATAGTGTCAAAAGGATTTGGACGTTATATGATGAAAAGCCCACAGGCAGTTTACCTTGAAAACTTTTTCTACATGTTTTTATTTAAAACAATAGCGGTAAGCGTAAGAAAAAAAATGACAATAATTTGGAGTAAAGAAGAGTGATTAAGGCATCCTCTATTGCAAAACATGTCTATTCAAACTCTTCTTATTGTCAAAAACACAACAATTGTAAAAGATTTTAAAGGTCATGCACTAACACATTGTTGTAGAACAATCTGACATTATTTTCTACTACATATCATTTATTTATGCTTTTCAAAGCAGAAATATGACATAAAACATTTGTTCTATTTAGCTGCTTTATTCAGTAACTATGGTTTATATTTCTTTAATTTTAATTTAATTTTTAGCACATCGACAAATAAGATGTCAAGTGACTTTTGATGGGGATAATTTTTTAAGACACAAAAGATACAATGTTTTTCTAGCGGTCGGACACTGCTCAAGCCTCACATGAAAATACATGCGCTAAGAGGAAGCAAATCCACAAGCAACGAATTCTCCAAATCTCCAAATGCCCAAATCTTTCTAATGCACTGATGTGTGTGCAAAAGCAAGACATTTAAAAATATAAAACACTCCACACCATGGTAATAAAAACATAACAGGTAGTAAAGACTTTGCATTCTGAAAAGAAAATGTCAGTCAAAAGTGAGTGCTTCAGTGGAAAATAAACATCTCTTAAATTTGAAATAGAACTTTTGTTTTCTGTCTTCAATATGTCTTCAACAGCCAAATAGATGCACCACCACTAACGATCAGGTTTTAAATACTCTATGTAAATCGCTTCTTAACAAGGACCACATTGGGTTCAGACAGACATTTACATAAAATTATTTTGGGGTTTTTTCACAGGTAATCAGTTTTGTAATACACTTTATTTAGCATACAATGTAATTCGAAATAAAAAAAGTAACACTTTTTCCTTAACATGATTGAAATCTCACAGCTCCTGACTTATTTAAATCTTTTTTTTTGTTTTAATTGGGAAAAGTTCTTTCTTTCTTAATATTAAACATTTAGAATCTTCGAGCTGAAGTAGCCAGAATACAAATAATGTCTTGAAGTAAAAGCCTTGCTATCTTTTAAATGTAATTTGTTTTTCGTGTTTTTGCCGATATAGCTCTGGGAATTAATGTCGCAGAGCTAAATAATAGCCCAAAAGCCAACCTTTATGACTGTTTACATAGGGTTCCCCTTGGTACTTTTATATAAAACTTTATTGAAAATGATTTAGGGAGTAAAATGGTATAGAATGGATAGAAAGAAAGAGGAGATAAGAACGAAGGGGATGCTTCAAAAAAAGTTTGGTACTTGCGACAAAGAAGAAGTCAAGACCCCCTTGGTATATTTACATTTTTCTGATTTATATTTAATCAATGCTTTTTAATGTGTTTAAAGAGAGAAGCCACTGACCACGGGTTAAGAAAATTTGAAATTATTTAGGTCAAAATGTCGAAATTCTAAACTAAATACCGAAATAACTATTTATATTTTGGTAAATCTTTTTTACCACTTGAATTGGCCCACTAAAAGCTGTAATTTTGACCATAAAAGGTACCTAAACCCTCAATTACACAAAGAAAGTGATTTAACTCAACTTTGCTTTTTGTCTGTTGATTGCTGCATTTCTACAGGATGGAAACGGGTTATTTAAACTGTATCATGCTGCCGGTATAAAAGTGAATGGATTTAAAAAGTTGCCCTAATAAAGCCGCAGTAGGTTGATGCAGCAGCCGGACTTAGGCAGGGAGAAGATGAGGTGACAACCGTTGTGTTCATGCTTCAAAGAGAAGGAGACAGGCACAGCTACTAAACTGTGGGCTGAGGATGTGTCTGCTTGTTCCATGGAAACAATCAGCAGACAGCATTCAGGGAGCTCATTACAGCAGCCTCTGAGCTGGAGGAAACGCTGCAGCGGTGGGGAATCAGGGAGTTCAGTTCAGTGAGCTCAACCTCAGCCAAGCTAACAGTCTTTTGGAGGGAGAGAGGGCTGGGTGTAAGCCAGCGGGATAAACCCACAGTGACAACCTGGGATATGCATGAGGTTCACCTCTCATCCCACAAGCACTCATTTAAAAGTTCATAGGTGTGCAGAGACAAGAACACATATGAGGGATGCATGGATGAATTTGAAGAGTATGAAGCATAAGTTTTGTCGGGTTGTAGCACAGTTTAATACTAATAAATCTGTGAGGAGAGCCTCTAGACTAATGCATTGTATTTTTTATTCTTCTTATGTCATAAGCTGTGATGCAAGAAATTTGCAGTGAATAGCTGGTAGATAAAACCTTTTGTCAGGGTCTAAAAAATCTTGTTAGCTGGCTTATTGTTTTTTACCTCATTGTGTGTTCACCATCTCTTCCAGTTGGTCTTGTGGCATCAGCCATGTCTAATCCATTCTTTTTTTCTGTCACGGTTTCACTTCTCAGTAAATTTACACATTGTTTTGTGTGTTCCGCAGAGCCGCAGTCCACGCCATTCCCAGTCTACCCAGTCCGGGCTCGCAGATCAGGCTGCCAAGCTTTCCTTTGCCTCCGCCGAATCCTTGGAGACCATGTCAGAAGCAGACATGCCTACCGGGTTTAACCGGATGAACCGATTCCGTCAGAGCCTGCCGCTGTCTCGTTCTGCCAGCCAGAATAAGCTACGATCTCCAGGTAATGATTTTGGAGATTCTGGCATGGCCTGTCATAACGGGCTGGTTGCACTGGAGGGAGATTTAGCAGCTTTCTCTTTATTTCATGTTTCTGTGAAACACTGTGCTGTCAGGTAGTGTTAGGAGGTGTTGTATTCTTAATTTATTGGCCATAAACTGCTTCCCCTGCTTAACTGCCCTTCTGCATTGAAAAAAAAAACAATTAAATGATTTTTTTCTGAATATATATGCATATATAAGTGTACATTTTCCAGATACGTGCTGTAAAATAACAGACTGTGTGATCTAATGTTTGGAGTATTATTAAGATACCAAATGTTGTGATTAAGATAGAAGGAAAAACAAGTATTAGTCATGTTATATTGATGTTAGGTCAAAAAAGATTAATCATTCTGGACTGAGGTCATCATTTGTGCCAGTAAACAACAGGGAGTCCATGGTGTTAGCAATATGAATATAAAGTTAAGCAGAAATAGAAAAGCTGATCTTTTTCCTCTGTCTCTACTAATACCTGTCTTTTTTCTTTTCTCTATGACTTGTACCTATTCTTTTTTGCCCCAATTTGTAATTGTGTTTGCCTTGTTGTTGTTTTTTGTTTGTCCCTTCGTGTATGAAGATGAATTTTCAGGTTAGTCAGGCATCATACACCTCTTACAACATAATACCTAATTTTTTCCCCCTTTTTTATTCTTTAAACAAGGTTCCCCTTTTGTTTTGCTGTTTACATAGAAAATACTCATGTAACAAATCAATTTAGCTGTTTTTACTATCAAAGCTGTATATATATATATATATAATTTTTTTTTTACCTTATAAAGTTTGACCTTTTTTGCATTTCGTCATGTTGCATATTATTGGGATTTTATTAGTTGAACCAACACATAGTAGGGTATAAGTGTGAGTCAGCTTTTAATCTTACCTTGCAGTAGACCCTGAGGTTTTTTTTAACGTCCTGAGGTCTACATGACTGTTCTTACATCTAAATTAGCATTATTGTTGTATTTTTCCATTATTATATTTCCATTTTAACCATTATCTCTAAAAGATTGTCTTCCATTGGCCTTGATTTATCATCTTCCAAAAAGCTGTTACTAGCTTCCCTGATGCTGCTGGGTTTAGCATACCCACAGTGTGATGCTGACATCAACTTGCTTTTATTATGGGATGCTGTTTCAAGAGCAATGTATAGTGTAGGTCTATTCTTCAGTTGTTTCAAATGTTTTCTACAAATTTCAGTTTAGGCCTCGTCTGTTGCTTGACAAGAGTGCTTTCTTTCACACATTGTGGGTAGAAATTGAAATAGAACTTCTAATGACTTTCTGTCATAAATTCTTCTTGGATTCTTACTGTAAAGGCAGATTTGTAGAGTGAGCCACCTAATCACCATTGTTTCCACCTGAACTGTGGATTACTGCTGCTTCTTTAGGGTCATCTTGCCACAGTGCTTTGATTTTATGAGGATAGAAAAAAACTGGGGATGTCTTTTATAACCAAACCCTGCTTTGAATTTATTCCCATGCTGCCGGTTATATAATGTTCTCTGAAAAACCACTGAGGTCTTCATAGAACAGCTGAATTTATACTTAGATTTAATTACACATAGTTGGACCCTATTTACCAATTAGGTTACTTCTAAAGGTGATCTTTCCCTTCTTTATTTATTTACTACAAATATAGAGCTACTTTGTGTTGGGTTTAAAAATAAAATCTCAATAATAGGTATTGAAATAATGGTTTTATTTTGAAATGAAAATGAAATTCAAGTTTTAATCACAAAAAAAGGCCCCATATTTTTTTTTTTCTTTACCAGGGAGCATAATTTATGGATAACGACCAACAACACAGCTTGTGAAAAATGGCTCCTCTGGTTATTCTCCCATCTAATAAAGCCAAAAAACTTCTGACTCAACCACCTCTCCCCCACAACTCTCTCCTAGGCGTGCTTTTCCTGCAGTATGGAGATGAGACACGGAGGGTTCACATCACCCACGAGCTCAGCAGCATGGACACGCTGCACGCTCTCATTGTGCACATGTTCCCTCAGAAGTTGACAGCGGGAATGCTAAAGTCACCCAACACCGCAATACTGATCAAAGACGAGGCACGAAACGTCTTCTACGAGCTGGAGGACGTCAGGGACATTCAAGACCGTAGCATCATCAAGATTTTCCGCAAAGAGCCCATCTATGCTTCTTACCCTGCAGCTGCACACCTGGCTAATGGAGACCTGCGGGTAAGCAGAGCAGACCTGAGAGGTGGGAGGGTCAAGGTGTTTCAGATTTTTCTGTTATATTGCAAAGCTGGAGCCACAATAAGGCTCTTTATATTCAGACATTTTTTAAACAGCGTCTTTACAGACTTTTGCTGTGCATTGGGGGCTAGGGATGGAACATCTTTTCCCATTGGAAATGTATTATTTTTTTCATCTTCAAATATGCCATCTGTTGCTGTGCAGCAAGAGAGAACATCCTCCTCTGTAAAACGACCATATTTTCACATTTAAAACAATTTCTGCTTTAGTAAAGATAATGACAGCCTTAGGGAGAACTTTTTTAAAGTATTAGGGGTGCAAAACTCTGCTTACCATCTGCATTATTCACACCAAACTGGGAATACAAGTGCTATAAAAAAAATGTGGTGTTTTAACAGTCTTTGTGCTAAAATTGTGCTCACATTCATCCTTCCAACTATTTGAAAAAAGACATTTTGGATATTTTTCTTTTTCTCAAGCAGGTCTAAGTTAACATTCTCTGAATATTATATTGGAAACATGAATCCAACAAAACAAAGATGTAACTGAGAGGCTTAGGCTACTTTTCACATCATTTTCTTTCTTTGTCCACTGAAGGTTTATAAATTAGAGCAGAACAACAACAAAAAAAACTCTCAAAGAAGGATATTGAAAGATGAGAAAGTAAATGAATCCTCCTTAACTGTAAGGTGATGTAGAACTGTTGTCTCTCTCAAAGGTGACTGGGTCAGCATCCTTCTGTACATGTTTTCTATTTTGCTATAGATACAGAAATTACAGCTAGATTTTTACATGTAGTGGTTAAATACATTTTTCTTACTGTCTGGTATTGAACAACACATTTTTAATGAGCTTTGATGACAAAAATATTTGTATTTGCCAGAATAGTGAAAGATTAATTGGAGAAAATCATACAATTTTTCTGTTGATGCTAAAAAACGCGTTAAATTAAAGTCTTCATGGTAAAATCAATGTGTGAAATCAGAGGAGTCTGTTTACATGTAAAGTTAGTTAGGCTATAACATTGTCAGTTGTATTGACTTTTCCTGTCCACATATGACTTAGAAGAACAGTGATCTGGAAGCTGAAGTTCCAGGATGTTGTGATGAGGGAAAAAAAACAGACAGGAAGAAACAAACTTGGGTTCAGATACAAATGATGCTGTTGTGTCGTTTAATACCAGATAGTAAGACAAATTATTGTGTCTATTTAACCACTACATGTAAAAATCTGTTTAGCGTGTAGTTACTATATCTATAGTAGAGTGGGGGGAACAAAGTGATGGAAGATGCTGACCCAATCAGCTTTGAAAGAGTCTATAGTTCCACATTACTGTAGATCCAGTTAAGGAAGATTCATTTTTATTAAAGTTCTCATTTACATATTAATATCAGAATACTGTGTTTTCTTTATTTTATGCAGTTCTACTCTTTCGTATTCCAGAAATCTAAAATACCTTAAGACTCTTTCATTCATCCAAATAGGGAAAGCCCAGATTATATTTTTATGACCTTCTAAGCCTCTGGAATCACAGCATTTTGATCAATAAAGGGGCACCTTTGGATCTATTTAAGAAAATAAACGTAAAGCTACTGCTTTCTGATGTGACATCTCAGTAAAATAATTCAATTCAGTTTATTTATATAGCGCCGATTCACAACACATGTCATCTTAAGGCACTTTTCACCAGATCATACAGTCAAATTGATTCAAAGTTTTCTATCTAAGGAAAACCATTTGATTGCATCGACTCATTGACTCAAATGCAATACCTCACACAAAGTATGCTTGTAGCGACAGTGGAGAGGAAAAACTCCCTTTTAACAGGAAGAAACCTCCAGCACAACCAGGCTTAGTGTGAGCGGCCATCTGTCGAGGCCGACTGGGGTTCAAGGAGACAGAAGCAGAGATACAAAAAGCAGCTGTAAAAAAATGCCCGGTCCAGGAAACACACAGCCAGGCAGACAAGCTCTGGGCCAGCTCCCATGTCAGAGGATAAAGAGAGCACATCCAGAAAATCACAGTCAGAGAAACAGGACTACACTGGAAAACAGGCCGATCTCCAAAATCCGTAAACAAGGGTGTTGATGGTGAAGCACAGCTGATATTTCTCTCCAGGATGGTGTCAGTTCATTAGCAACATTTAGAAAAATATTAGGAAGATAATTGTGGACCTCTGAGATCAGGCTTGGTTTAGTCATTTAAATAATGTTTTATCCATATTTAGACATTAGCAGAAATCTTTGTTACATTTTTGTTTCAGACTAGATTTTGAATTGTTTTTCGTCTTTTTAACAAGTTGCCTTTCAGGAAATTCTTTGTATAATGCCAGCAGTAGGATAGTCTTTTTGGAGACTCATCCCTTTCTCCTGCTGGCGATCTTTCTAACAGCAATCTTGTTCCTTTCAGAGAGAAATGGTTTATTCATCTCGGGAATCATCCCCAACGCGCCGCCTCAACACCCTTCCTTCCTCTTCGGGATCGGCACCCTCCGGCTCTCCATCCCGCTCTCGCCTCTCATACAGCGGGGGCCGAAATCCCTCCTTCTCTGGGAACCAACCCCAGCACGAACAGCCCAGACATTCGCATCACCCCCCAGGTGGCCACGGTGCTAACCTAGGTCTGTCTCCATCACCCAGTGCCATTTTGGAGCGTCGTGATGTCAAGCCGGATGAAGAAGTTTCTGCAAAAAAACTGGCTCTTATGAAAAATGAGGCACTATATGCAGATCCCTATAGTTTGATGAATGAAGGTCGTCTCAGCATCGCCTCCACCCAGTCTCTGGCTGCCATTGGAGACCCTTTCAACTATCCTGTTACCACTGGCCTATATCGGCGAGGGTCTGTACGCTCTCTTAGCACCTACTCTGCTGCTGCTCTTCAGGGAGACCTGGACGACTCATTCTACAAGCCTGGAGGCTCGCTGTATTCTGACACATACTCCTCTGCAACCCTCGGAATGGGATTTCGAATGCCGCCCTCATCACCGCAAAAAATCCCTGACATGCAGCTTAGGGACAGAGACTCGTATTCTACTTCACCACGCCCCTCTCCTGTCAGGCAGAGTTTCCGCAAAGACTCTGCCTCTTCGTCTGTATTTGTGGACAGCCCGAAATCCAGGCCAAGCTCCAGTTCAGAACCAGGCTTTGGCCCCGCTTTATCTGGACAGGATGGAGACACAAGCAGGTCAGTTCCAGCTAGTTTCATCTGGAAAGGCTCACTCAATGTCCTCTGACATAAAACACTCCCCAAATCAACCCTTTATAGAAGCATTGAGCACTGCAGTGTACTCTGCCTATGCTAGTAATCTTATTAGAACCTTATATATTTTTCAGGGACCACCGCCTAGAGCGTATGGAAGCCATGGAGAAGCAAATAGCCAGCCTGACTGGCCTCGTGCAGAGTGTACTGACCAGGGCACCAGACAGCGACAGCACGTAAGACCCTCCATTAGACCCCATTAACCCTCTAAAAGTCACAAATACAGCCTCAGCTTTGACACATAGGCTGGAGTATTGACAGGAACAGCGCCAGGCTATTATCAGAGCCATTACCAGCTCCACAGTAGTGAAGTATTGCACTGCCTTGTGCGAGCACAGCACTAGTAGAGACCACTAAAACATCAGCTGCAGGCAGCTGTGCTATTGATATGCTGTCAGATTCACACAGTTTTCAGCTTCTCACATTTACTATGTCAAGCTATCTTCGTTTGTATAACCTATATACCAGCAGCTTATTTACTAGAAAAAAAAAGATAACCGACTTAATGCCAGTTTCATTGTATCCGGTAGTAGTGCTTTGAGCATTAGCTTTGTAATTGCCTTGCCCTGTGGCCGTTGATCCTCAGATGCGGCCTACTGCGTCTCTGCATGATGGCGGGCTGCCCTCCGGACCAAGGGACGGAGTTTTCACGCCCATTACCTTTCTCTTCCAGCGAGAAGACCGAAACTAACAGTGACGGCTCCGCCACTGGAAGTGAGTAGAGCAGAGTAATTGAGACCTGTGTACCGAAGTGTTACTAACACGCCTGTTTCTCCGTTGCATCCCTTCACTCATGTTCTTTCTAACTCTGCTCCCGATACATTCATAATCCACAAGTTTGCAGATCTCTGGGTCTATTTGTCCATGCTCCAGGATAGGCAAGATTTATATTATCTCTAATATATTAATTTACTGTTTTTTTGGTGTTATTCCTTTTTTTTATTGATCTTATTAAGTGAAAAAGAAAATCTATGTTTCATTTAGTTTTTCTGGCAAAGCAATTTCCAAATAAAAGTGAGCATCTTAAGCCTGTTAAATGTAAACATAATTATGTAAATGTAGGTGTAATATTATTTCATAAGTTTGCTAAAAGGGCTTACTGCCCAGGGTGGCATACCATCATTGGTTGGGAAAAGAGCTGTCTGTTGCACCTGAGCTAAAGAAAACCCAGGTTATAAACTGCTTTATTTCTAATTAGTTTATAAAAAAAGTAATTTTGTGACTTTTGTGACTTTAAAGTGGAGCTTTTCTGCGCTAAATAAAGGGATGTTCTGATGTTTTGCTAAGCAAAGAATGACAATGACAAAAATAAACATCTTACTTTTAAATATATACAATTCCTGATCAAACCTTAGCTAGATAATTTTATACTAAACAGAATTTCTTATAAACCATAAAAGTTACCACATTTAGGGGAATTTAGATGATTTTATTAATTCCATGCTTAGATCGTTCTAAGTGGAAACTGTAATACTTAGAAAAGTCAAACCTGGATTAATGCAGGGCTCTGTAGTTTTCTCAACAACATAGTTAAATTCTCATTTTTTATTCTCATGGAGGCAGTTAGGCAGATAGTGTAAGAACTGTCAGGTATTACCAATCACAATTAAAACTTTGCCCACAGGCTAGTTGAATTAATGCAGCTGCTTTAGAAATTAAATTATGCCTGTTTTCTAAGAAACTAAACTGACCGCAAAGAGCTTAGAAAAAACAATAAAGATGGGAGCAAACTGTTAATTACTAGACTGCCTTAAAAACAACATTTAAAAAAAAAAGAACAAAATTCTACTTATCTACACAAATTTGTTCTTGTGGTCTACGTTGACTTCACAATAATAAACAATTACACATTGCGATATCCAATCAGATGAAATTAGAAACACATTTTTAAGAAAAAAGCAATATAAAGAAGGGTGTTAGGAATTAGAAAAGACTGTTTTTTTGTTAAAATTTGGTAAATAAAGAAGCAAACCTTCAAAACCTTAAACTTAATCTTCTAAGTCAGGTTGGAAACCAGAGCTGTAAAGCATTTGGTTTACCTCTTCATTGTAAAATTCTTGTCTTAATTTACCTTCTTAATAAATATGAAATTATTTATCTAATAGTGTTAACTTAAAAATAATCTTGTAGCGTAGATCATATCAATTAATCCCCCCTTTTAAGCTGAGTTTAGGCTGGTTTAAACACAGATATTCTTTGTTCAGATCTTCATGGACGCCTCTAAATCTTCTTCATAAATTGCTGCACTGCCAAAACACTGGGACACCTCCACAGTCCCAGTAGATATCTGTGGGTTTATCCCTCTTTAAATTTGGACTCTGAAGACTCTCCTCTCCTTTTTGTCTTTCTATCCCTCCTCATTAATTTCTTGGTAACTTGCTCACTCTTTCTATATTCCAGCTGGACGTCAGAAGAAGAAAGGTAGTTGACATCTCCTCCTCCTCTCATCCTTTTTTTATTTCCTCTGTCAGACATGCACCATAACTCTCTGCCCTCTGTATGGCTGTTGGTGTTGCTGGACAAACAACAGTCTCTGCTCTCTTGTTTTCCTCCTGGCTGTTTTTTTCCCCCAGAAAGTGGACTCCTTTCCCTATGTTTCTAAATCTGGAATTCTTTGCTTGGTTGTTTTTGAAATTTTCAGAAGTTTATTTTGTCACACACTAGACTCTCCTTTGCGAGTGTGTATGTGTGGTCAAATAAATTGCAGATTAATGGCCATACTCACAAAGCCCTGTGTTGAGCTAACAGCCCTCATATCCCTGTGTGTCTCAACTAAAGAGTTAGTGAACTTCTCTCCTGCTCACTAATAGCATGAGGTCACAACTTTCCCAAAATACAACTAGAGTTTTGTGAATATGGTGTTTTTTTTGTTGTTGTTGCTTTTTTTACTCTTTATCAAAGCGTGCGTGTTCCCAGACTTATTATATATTTGTATTTATTTGGGCTCACAACGTGTGGCTCATTTTGTGTCTCAAATTTAACTGGATTGTAGCTTAACAAACTAACTTAATTGTGTCCCAATGATTCCCCAATATCCTCCTTTGTGACCAGCAGCCAATACACCGTCAGCACCTTTAGCACTGATGCCACCACCGCCTTCTAACACAACCCCGGTGAACGGTGTTGGTCGCCTGCAGATGAAGCTCCATCTGCATGGCCTGCAGCAAAACGCCACCGACCTCCGCAAACAGCTTGGTCAGCTTCGCAAGATACAGGTATCCACAACCTAAAACAACTGATCTTTATTTTTGTTTACTTCTAAAGATTTGTACCTTCTAATTGCCTCCATCCCCTCTGTAAAACCTCATTTAGAAAGGTCATTTTCTTTAACACATGATCCGTTTAACCTCATAAAATGTAATTTCCAACAGTCATTCTTGAACACTTTTATGTTCTGTTGGTGGAAGCATGGTGGTTACAGCATCATGCAGGGTGGCAGCTTGCATCTGACTAGTTAGGGCACTCAGAAAACAAGGAATTGATGTGGCCTGGCCAAATAAGATCACTTAACATTCTTTGGACACCATGCTAAAATACTTTACTATCTTGTATTTAAAAGGTTTGAATGTATTGAAACATGCACTTTGTTTGCACATGCAAAGCAGATCTTCAAAGAAGATGTATGTGTGTCCTTATCAAAATGCAGATCCTATTCTTATGACCAAACCATGTAAATGCATAGGAAAATGATATACAAATTTTATCATTTTATCACG